TGAGAACAACACCAACACCTTTTCAGGCCTTTCCTCCAGGGAATAAATAATACCCTAAAAGGGCGCAAAATATTCAAATATATTTTGCACATGGATCGGACAGAAAAATACTTAAAATAATAGTGAAAAATGTATAATAATAATGACAGATGCCAGATGAGTTGTTTATTTTTTGGTAGTAACTGTAAACAAATAATGGGATTGAACAACTTTTTAATTATTGTCTTTTTATCTAAGTCACAAAGTGCAAATGAAGGGAGAGGTAATGGCCTTAAAGTAATCATTTTCAACACTTTCAAACTGAAACTTTTTTTTCCTTGTATCTTATTTATGATGGAGAGAGGGAAAATGATAACTGTTCTGATTTTTTTTTCTCAGCTTGTTCAAGGGGAAAAAAAGATTAAAAACTCAAGCAGGAATTTTCAAATGTACAACAGCATCAGCTCTGCAGCAACGAAGGACAAGAACCAACTCTGAATGACAGCTCTGCCCCGACTACTAACGCTTCAGCATTCAGCTACACAACAGGCACTGCACTTAAAGAAGAATAAACTCAGCTCTTACACACAATATATCTAGTATCCACCTGTTCTGAGAAATAAATACAAATTGCCAAAAGGATTTCATAAATACATTGAACACAAACTACAGTACAACAACTTCTGCAGAACTGTCAGTTAATAATGTCAGTGACTCCGGTGCTGCAATAACCACTGTTTTATATTTCATTTATATTTCAATGCATTCTTCACTTTGAGGTGTCTGGGTAACACGACGGCTTATATGAAGTTATTCTGACCTTTAAGATTATAATCTACAGAAATACATCTAAAGTTTAACTTGACTCACAGCACTCTATAAAGAAATGAAGTGAAATAATTTTCACTGTGAATAAATCACTGACCTAAGATTCTATTTCCTCCACCAATCAAAATTCACTATTGGCCAAAGTTGACTTTTACTGGCAATTAAAAAGAATAGAAAATGCGCCCTGAAGGAGCCAACAAGTACATCATCAATTCTACTGTGCTGACAATTCCCACAGAAGGTGGCGAGCTCTAAACCTCCTTAACCGGCCTGTGATTGCTGCAGCTTCACTGCAATTCACCCCGAATCGTTCGCTGCCACTAATTAGACTTGATCTGCGGAATACGGCTGCTCGTGATTTATTTTTGTATAGATGCTTGATGAAAACCTCGTAGTGAGCAACCACCCAGTCTGTAAACGAGGGAGGTTTGGGGGGGCTGAAGCCGTGAGTAGATAATGGCTGTGAGCTGAATGAAGCTGCAGGGTTCATTTTTAATCCTCAGGGGGGAGTGCGGAGCTACAACCAGGCATCTGCGGTTCCCTCCTTCAGGAGTATTCACAGTAGAAAGGCTACTATCATAAACATTCTACTGATGATTATTGTGTGGCTCTGTGCTTTGTGTGTTGGTTATCTGACATTAGCAGTTGCTATAAAAGTATATGAAGAAGCGTTAATTTATCAAAGCCAGGACAAAAAGGTCATGCAGACAGGAAGCATCTATGCTCGCTTTGTTCACCAAACAAAAGGCTCCCAGAGAAAATGTCAAGGAAGCTGCCGCTGAAAAGGATAAGGATGTACAACTGCAGCTTTTATACAGCACTTGACTCAAGAGAACTTAAAAAAAAAAAAAAACCCTCACAGTAAAGAACGAGTAGTTTCAGGTCAAGCGGCTCCCTGACCACTTGGCCCTTAGTCACAGACAACCTTTAATTTTTTTTTTTTTTAAGAGATGAGTAATAAAAAAAAAGGTTTTGGTTTTATTTCAGGTGTGATGTTATTTCTGTTCCCTGGGGGTGTGTTTGTGTACCTGTGTACCTGTACCTCATCTGTATGAGGACACTGATTCAGACTGAGGGTATTTGGAAGTTGAGTTGGGATTAGTCGCAGTGAAGATGACAAATAGCTTCATATTTCTAAGACAACTTAAAAACAAAAAACACAACTGAAAAGCCATTTTCATCATTTTACCACCAAATAAAAGTCCCCACAAACCACGGGAGTAACGTGTTGTAACCATTTGTCGTTATTTAACCTGCAGTATCAGTGTCAAAAAATAAACAAACTATAACTTCCTACGTTATCAGTTCAAGCACAGTAGATTTCAATATTTAGTACGACACACTCGCTGGATCACCCACAGTAACCTTTGGTAGAACACCTGATGTAAAAGCTATAAGAAAATACTGTGACGTTTAAATGTGTTTTTGTTGAACTCCCCTGGGTTAGAGTTAGGGGCCAGAGAACGGAATACATCTAAGATCTATGGCATGACCGGTGTGTTTGTGTGTGAATGCCTGTGGAGGAATGTTCTTCAGGGATAACTCATGTTGTGACTTATGTTCTCTTCAAAAAAGAAAGATCCAATTACACAAATCATGTGGAACCACCTAGGATCAGGTTATGGTTATGATTTAAGTCACTGCTCTGCCTCAGAACGTCCAAACCAATTTGGTTTAATTAAATATGTGAGATGATGCGTGTCCACGCGGAGGCGGATTAGCAGCTGTGTTGGTCAGCACATGACTGCACGTAAACCTTAGACACTTTGTTCCTGCAGGACTCGGGAAGGTTCCGGAGTTACTGAGGCTAATTTCTAAACTGCTTAAGTCCGGAGTCCTTACAGGAAATTAATGTCCAAAAAGCTGGGCTTCATACATAATATATTATATCACTTATACAGTATACACCCTGTGGATCAATATACGTACTGTATCATGGACAGACTTTATTGTGAAGCTGAAGGAACCTGCTGACATGCGTTCCGCAGCCAGTGACTGCAACCTGGAGAATAACCAGATCATGGTGGATCCTCTATTGGCTTTTGGAACTAATTGGCTCCTCTACGCTTTCAGTGACGGTGCGGGTCCCTGGAGTGTTGACGCATCTGACAGAGCCAGAGAATGGGTTTCAAGAGGAAGAATGTGGGCCGCTGGGACACATTCAGAAATTCAATACAATTAAATAATTTACTTGTCAAAACACAAGGGATTAAGGAGTCACATGACTGCTGTCGACGCAACATGTAAGACGGTGATACTGCGACCGCTGTGGAGTCAATTAGTTTGGAGTATTTTTTATTTATTTTTTTTATTTTGTATAGTAAAAAAGGACAAGCTAGCCACAGGGCTGTCTATGGTCCTCATTTATATAATTACCACTGCTGTCTACGTTACCAATCTGATGAAACAGTTAGCGGACATCAATATTTAACATGACAGAATAAATTAAACAATTGAAACATCTAAACACGGTTTAACCCATCTGCAGTGGATGATTACTGTCTAATCTCCCAAAGCTCTGATGCTGTGATTGTTATATTTGAAGACAAACCAGCAGCAGCAGCACACTTCACTTGTGGAAACAAATGAGAGGAAAGGGAAGATTGGTTTCTCCCGTGGTCCCTATTTAAACCCCCTCTGTACTTTGACAAGACTTTGATACCACAGACTGGATCAATTTGGACGCCGCAGACGTGTAAACAAATAAGTTTTCTTTGGTGTGGTAATTGGATTGAAGAGGCACAGGTTGAGACACGCTCCAGGTTTTTGTTGAATACGTGTCCTCCCCCCTGGGAACACTGTGTTGAATTTAAATGTCAGTATTGACTGACCAGCTGCTTCAAGTATTCAGCTTTAATCCCCTTTAAACCACTGTCCGTTGATCCCGGAAATCACCGTAAACCCCCGAACCTGTGAATATTGCTGGCACAAAAGTCCGAGGCTTTTGATGGTCAATTGTTTGGAAGCATCTGAGGGACTGCGTGTCAAACAGCTGTGTTTGACAAACGCTGCGTTTACAGGCAGCTGGGCTGAAGCTGCCTTTCAAACAGCAGCCACTGTGGCAGATAAAAGACTCAGGGATCCATATGGATTAAAACCCTGCACCCTGACAACAGGACTCCACGTTCAGTCTTGGGAAATATCTCAGCCTTTAAATGTATTAGTAATGTGGATAAGCTGGTTGTTAAATTGTGCATTAAAACCTCCTCAATAAGAGTGGAGTGGACAAAATCAGAGTCCAGTTGGCAGAGATGTTCTGATGAATCAGCTTCACCTTTAACAGCATTTTCTCTGAGAACACAATTCATTTTAATTGTTTGTTTTTTTAGATAACATTCATTCTGGGATGGTTTTTGTCGTATTTACCAAGTGCCATTTTTTCCCTCACAGTATATCATTTTATTGTCAAATTAGAAATCAGTCTGTCACCAGCCGAGTGTTCAAGGACTCTGTAAATAAATAGCCCGTGTCACCGCAGATGTGACGAGTTGACAGGTGACTATAAATTAAAATAGTCTGTTTTTTTCTTTCCCATCGTTCTATCCTCTCATCCACTGATATTGTCTGGTCACAGCTGCTCACGGATGTTGACAACACACACGGCAGCCTGCAGCAGCCACCTGTGTGTGGATGCGCTGCCTCTGGAGAAACCTGCGCTCCGTGAGAACCGTTTCTCACAGACGCACGGACACTGGAGGATCTCTGAGCATTTCTTACAGGAGTGCGGTTTGACTTGTTTAATGTTCTGTGTACGAAAAAAAACTGCAAACAGTCCAACGCGTCTTTTTACGCGTAAACCATTTGAGTTTGTTTTATTTTTATTTTATAAAGAGCCGCAGTATTTGGCACATCCAGCGCTGAGGCGCGCACCCGGACTCAATCACTGGAACCGACCCAGAGCCAATACGCGACAAATGGCAAACCAACAACAGCAAATCCGCCTTGAAAGTTAATTTATGAGGCATCACAACCAATAAATCAGCGCTCGGATCTCCAGGGTCTGCTGGAGCAGAACGCGCAGAGCTTAGACGCTGATGTTTACGGTGCACGGTGAATCCTGCTGGAGCAACATCCACTCCTGAATCCAAGCATACTCTGAAACTGTGTTTTCTTTAAGTTAAACACACCAGTGTGAGACAAAAAAAAATGCAATGTACATTAATGAACAAACAATAAAACGTTCCGACTCTTACCTTCACGCCATAAGTTTGACTAGAGCAGAGTGTTTGCAGGCAGCAGGGGTAAAGTCCAAGAGCGTCCACGGACACTTATCTCCCCGTGTATCCTTCATTTGCTCTGCACATCGTTGTTCCCGCATAAATGAGCAGAGAACGTGCAGCGCTCGGACCGTCAGTCCAGGAGACCGGGACTGTCGCTGTCTCACAGGGTGATAAAATAATGACAATAATAATGTCAAAGCAGTGAAATGCAAATGCGTTACTCTAAGAACAGTTTCCGTTGTTTGCAGAAAAGTCACTGATGTGACGGTGTAAAGTGCTTCTGTCCGGGAGAAAGTGCAGGATGTTGTGCGTCTCCGTCCGCCCTGGTGCACGGGAGCCTCAGTGACGGCGCTGATGGAGGCAGGAGGCTGTAAAGAAGTGTGGAAATCAAGGCGGGGTTACGTCTGCTTAAATCCAAGCAGGAGACGTATGTTTCCTTTAGTGTCAAGGCGATGGAGAAGCCTGTGCTCTCTCACGTCTCCTCTCTGAACCTCTCCAAAATGCGCATCTGGCTGCGCGTTTTCAGAGAAGGGACCCGGTGGAGAGGACATAAGTGATGTATGGTGTGTCTCCAGTTTAGTCACCAATTACAGATGTACAGTATGTGACCACCTCCCTCTCTCTCTCTCTCTCCCTTGTTCCCTCCTCCCTCTCTCATTGTTCTTCTCCATTATGAAAACCATGTCCTCCACTTCCATGCCTGCCATGTAATCAGGACCCACTTTACACATGGGAAGCTTTGTGAATACAATTAACTGAGTGTAAGAACAGAAACCAGCCCAGCTCGCTCCTCGGGGCCTTGACGACCAGCCCTGAGAAACAGGACACCATGAAATCCCCATCACACCACTGAGATTCACTCTGACCTGTGAATTAATGAACTCTGCCTCTCCTCCTCACCGCTTCTCAAACTCTTAGTGCAGCGCCCCCTTTGTGGTTACAACTATTGTGCACCCCAATCATGTTGACATTTCTAGCAACAGCTGGAACTCTGCTCAATTTTACTTTAAACACTGCAAATCTTACAAGACTCACATCTGAACTCTGTGCCCCAAACGGTTACTTTGGAGACGACGTGGCTCATGTCTAATAAAAACTACTTCCAAGTGTTTTATAAGAGTCATTTCTACTAGATGTTAAATAGTAGTCAGAATAAGTCTTTAGGGATTAAATCGGTATCTGACAGAAATGATTTATTAGTTCATTCATCTTCTACAGATTAACCCCCCCTCAGGGTCACAGAGGGAGTGACATCCAATCCCAGCAGTCCTTAGGGGTTGCATCCTGCACAGAAGGTGTAACCCCCCGAAAACAACCATTCAAACTCATACTCAGAGTGGGATAGATTGGGTATCAAACAGCAAATTGGTGAACTTTGTGCTGCAAGGCTAACCGCTCTACCACCGTGCGGCTCTACCTTTTAAAAACAAGCCAATTCCAAAAATTCTCATCCAATAAAGGAGGATAATTTATGTTGCGGATGAAAGGTCTGCTGGGAGCGGATTGTCATTCAGATCCGTCTACATGTGAACAGCTGCAGCCATCAGGACCGTGTCATCGAGTGTCTGCTCTACAGAAAGATGCAGTTGGACCTGTGTTGAAAAGTATTGAAAAGTAAACAGTCACAGATATCAAAGAGGAAAAAACCGTAAAGATGGAGTAAAGATTCTTCGTCTACAGTACAACGTGATTGGTCAGCTTGACAACACCGACTGGACGCTTCACGCTCCAGCACACAGTTTCAAATGAGCGTTTGAAGTATCGGTTCTGTGGTATTGATATATTGATACTCATACGAGTATCGATTACTCTACATAAAGTAGCTATGCTTATTATGAAAGGGAATAAAAAGTGGGTGAATCTCTACCTCTGCAGAGTAACTGACCACATACGGGCTTTTGTACTTCAAATTGACTGTTATGTCCATTTTTCAACAGGTACTTTTTTCTCCCTGCAGTATCCTGAGGCTTGAGAGACTATAAAGTATTTAAAGTATCCAAGTTCATAAAAGGATGTGGCAGCAGAGAGCTCTGGAGCAGGAAATAATAACCTGTGTTCAAGGAAAAATGTAATATTTCACAGAACACCTGAAACGCCAAAATAAATCTTTCCACTGATGGTCGGTCATTTCAGCTGTTGGTTTCATCGCATCACACTACCATTATTTTTGACAAAAATTTGTGTGTAGAAACCATTATTTTCCATCACATCTTTCTTTTTAGGCTTGTTTTAAAGAGTGACGTTAGCTCTGATTTCTTTTTTTTTTTTCTAATTTTAAAAGTTAAATAAAAACCTGGTTCAACACAACAACACACACAGACCTCAACTTTTGACTCAAATCTAATGAGAAAGCTTCTCCAATCTGTTGGAGATGCCTCGACAAAACACCTTTTGAAGTGATTACATCTGTCTTTGAACTTTTTGACTAATTTGTTTTTGTATTTCTTTTGACTAATGAGAATTAGAAATTAGAAATTACTCATTATCGTTTTATAAACTTTAGCAGAGCTCAGTTTTTGCCTTGAGCATAATGGGGGTCACAGCAATAGTTCTATCTACAGAGGGGTGTCGCTGCAGGAACAAAAAAGTATGGCAACCACTGACTTTGCCTTTGCCTTGGCTAGACAGTCAATATTATTGGACAAAGGACATTGGAGATGAAGCTGCCAGGCAAGTGATTCCTGGCAGATGGTCTGATTCCATCTGACAATGAGGAACTGTGCTTACATCAGAACAACACAGGTTTAAATAATTATGTATATTTCTATTGTAAGAAATGAACCAATCGGGTAGTTATCTGTGTTAAGATGGGAAATACAACATCCTTTGGTCCCTGTGAAGCCACAGGGAATGATCACATCTTCCAAGGAGGGAGTCGTGTCTCCACCTTCTTGGTAATGGCTTCTATTCTGGATCTCATTATTTTAAAGCCAGAGATCTGTGTTAACTGAACCCCCTATAGTCTCCTCCCACACTCAGATAACTCGGTTTATATTTGGTAGCACAGAAATGATAGATTTATTGATTCAGTTTGACAGTTTCATTAAAAAGAGACCAAACCACCAAGGCATTTAGTGCAGAGTTATCAGTAGGAAAGTCAGGAGGATGAGGAGGACGATGATGTGTCTGCAGGATTATTTCAATGTCACATGACTCTGTATCATAACTGTAATGCACAAAGTAAATAATTGAATCCAGTGCACCTTGAACAGCAGCTCTGTCATTACAAGGTCTGTTCTCTGAATGACCTTGTGAGGTCCTACACTGACTGTTCTGGGATCTGTTTCACCGCTAACACAATGCAGTTCAGGACACTGCCAAGGCAATCAACCCTAACCCTGTTTTAACCCTGGTCTCAATACAGTAGAATCAGCTGAGTGCCCTGCTTTCATTACCAGGAGGTAGAAACAAGAGCAGCGCCAAGTTCTGTGAAGGGTAATGCTATGTATGGACCATTGTTCAATTGTTGGTGTCATTGACAAAAAGAGGAGCAGTGGCCATGACCAACATTTTCATTCCCTGGTCATTCAGTCAAGAGATTTTCATCCAGTAACTTCAGTTGTAATTGATGATTACTTATTCATGTTACAAATATTGTACATCAGGTTACGAAACTCAGCTGCATGGACTTTATTAGATGCTCTTTAAGCTCCCAAAGGCCATGCCAAATGACTGGCAGGCCGCATTTGGCCCCCGGGCCTTGAGTTTGACATATGCGACTTAGACTTTAATTTCCACCTTAAATCCTTAACTCCACTACCCAGCATGTGTTTGTGTGGTCTTCAACCTTCAACCTGACTCTTGTGTGCAGTGTGAGCCTCTGTGTGTGTGTGTGTGTGTGTGTGTGTAACTGTAGATGCAGGCTGTGTGTGTTGGTTTGGTATGGGGGCGGGGAGCTGATTTCTGTGAAATCGTCAGCTCTACGCATGTTGGCCATTGTTACTGTGCGTGATTGGTAAATAAGTAATGAATTAATTACTAATAAATAAATCTTCCATGTTTTCCAGGGTTAATGCTTCTCCGTGTTACATTGCACTGTTTCTGCTGCTGCCCTCACTGTTTGGTAACCTTAATTAAAATGAAACGAGGCACACGCAATTAACACTCGTTTAAAGCCAACTCCACATCTGTAATCAATGTGATTGAGTTCCGTTGGAAAAGGCAGTGAAATTGGCATTCCACTCATTTCTGTGTGATCCGTTGCATTTCTCTGATTGGTTCTTTGCCTTTAATTGGCAGAATGAGTCATAATAATGTAAGGATTCTGATTGACATGAATAAATTAATAGAAGAAGATTAGCTTCTTAGCAAGTCATCAAAGTCCTGTAATTATCCAATGCGAACTGGTCGTGCAGTGTTTTTCTGGCTTTTGAGAAAATTAGCTAAAGCTCGAAAGCTGGCAGGGAACACAGACACACTGTCACAATGTGAGAACAGACTTTTTTCACACTACTTTCTTCTTCACTTTTTAAAAAAAGGTAACGTGGTAGTGATGACGCGACTGTACACCTTAAATATAAATAAAAACATTGAATATGGCACAAGAATACGGCAACATTAGGCAACACAAGAAGTAACATCCACATTGTGAAAACAGTTTTACACCACAAGACTAGAAATAGCAGTAATTGGTCTGTGGTTTTTATACCAGGCTCAAAACCCAGCCACAGTGTGTGGACGGAGGGCGAGGCTTTAATGGAACCCTCGGAGTCTTTGTTGTGGTGTTCAAACCCTGGTGGTCAATGATGGTATTTCTACATGGAGGTTCCATGTTTTTCTTTGTTTGTTTTGGTAAATAATTTGGTCACATGATACATCAGTTAACATGGACACATTTTCAAAAACCTGCAGGACTAGGTTGATTGTTCACTCTAAATTGACCAATGAAATAAGTGGGATGGACAGGGATAAGAGATTAAAAAATCCATATAAGTTTGTATCTTTTTTGTTTTAATGAATAGTAAGGCGTTATCTCCCAGAGTAACCACATTCTTGACACCTGCCAGGGCCTGTTGCAGCAGATCTACTGTTAACACAAGAATTTCCCACGTGTGCGATACAGTTTAATTATTGATTATAATTGTTATTTAAGATAACAATTTCAGTTTATGTGGGACACAATGCCATCTCTGTTGGTAATGGTATTTCATATCGTTATTAGAATTAAAGGCTATTGTGAATTGAGTTTCTCATTCCAGCCCTAACAGGGACACACATGTGGCAGATGACCTTGAAATGATTAACTGAAAAATCACTCCACAGTGATGAAATAATATATAAAAACATATAAACTTGTGATATTCTAATCCTCAGTGACTGGTTGAGGATATATTTGTCTCCCAGTTTACTAAGCTGGAAAATTGCAGCATGTGGACCAAAGTAAGAGAGCACACATGAATCACACCCGCAGGAGGTTTTAACACATCCTATTCTGGGGTGGGAAAAAAAATACCCCAAAAACTGAGCTGCAGTGTTAAAGTTAAAAACACTTCAGTGTAGAACGAAACCATCAGCCTTAGAGAGTCCACAGACCGTGTGCACCAGTGTTTCTGACGCGCAGCTTTGTGCTTGGTGATGTAAACCCGCTAACAGCTGCTGAGCTGCCACGTCATCGACCTCCCAATTTAATTCCTCCTGACACTGATGATAGACAACAGTTAAGAGCCAAAGCTGTCGGCCCATTTTCATGCCTGTAAAGTCTAACGGTGAGACTGAATGATGAAGAGTTTGAAAACCTCAGTGATGGAGTGACATTTTCCCTGTATTCCCTAAACCACGGGTCATGGAGAACAGAAAAGTTTCCATATTCAGTACAAGTTAAGTTTCTATTTGTAACAGGAACTAGAATAAAGAGTTGTTTATTTGTATGGTGTTTCCACTGCTGCAAGAACCCCAGGTTGGGTATTAAATCCTGTTTTGTTTTGGATTTGTTTTTTCCTTTTTTGCACCTTGTGTGTAGAATAATCTTCTACAACAATTCCAAGAAAAACTGCACTGGTAGAAACCTCTCCAGGCTGACTGACCCTCAGTGTCC